GACTTGGGATCGCCGTGGATCACAGCAATGATACCGCACATTTTGACGTGATGGCGGGGTGTGGGGAGGCCTGGAGTAAAAACTCGGGTTTATATGCTACTAAGACGCGTCAGTTGCGGTAAGAATTCGGAAGACGCGGAATATGTAAGTGGGGTAGTCTCTCAGGAAGTCGTTGTGCGCTCAAGGGGTATCGCAAGTCTAACATCTTTATAATATGACAAAATCATCATCGGGACATTGAATAGGCGGCAGGTAAGAGAACAAGTGACGACATACGTAGCCTGGTGGTGTTCCTGAAGATTTCGGCAGGTCTCTCCAAAAATGGGGTATCCTGGTGGAAGAATAATGCTATGGCCGTTGGGCGCTAGATGCAGCAGCAGTCCATCTACTCTCAACTCGAGTTCTCAGTGTGGGCGGCGGCGGCGTCTTCGTAGCGGCGTGGCGGGATTATTGTCCCAGCTGGTGATGGCGTTTGGGCTCATGGTTATTGGAAAGTAAGAGCGCTCTAGTGGGGAAGGGGCAGCATGATAAACAATTTTTTTCCTCGCCGCACCTGCACTTCCGCCCTTTGGGGCTTGGCGGCCCTTCGAAGCCGAGGGAGCTGCCCCACATGTTGCAACCCAGAACCGACATCGCAACGCGACATCGCCATGACTCCGACAAAGGAACGCGAGACAGGCGCGTTACCACCGCTGACAACCATTCGAGTACGCGCTTTCGTTCGTTTCGCGCCCTGGACCATCATCCGACGCGTTCTCACCCCTTATGTACGAAAGATCGAATGTCTCCACCTCCTCACGTCCTCCATGGCGGTCCTAGGTACGCTCCCAAGGTTGATGAACGCCATTCCACATGCGAACAGAGCGCGTCGCTGTATGTACCGGAACGCATCAGTCGATATTTGGTGGCCCACTGTGCCATGGGGCCTGTGAACGCCAACGATGGCGCAACCTTGTAGTCGTCATCCACGGCCGACCTCTCGCATTTTGTCACCGGGCTTCTCGGGCCATCTCCCTCGCAGTTTCTTGAGTACATTCGAGGGCTGACGTAAGTGAATTTGTTCCTTGTCGATGCAGGATTCCGGAAGAGCCCCAAATGGACGGAATAGGCCGACGCTCACATGGGAGCGCACAGTCAGGGTGTGCTTGTGCTGACTCTCGAAGGGTTATCGTCCAAAGCCTCTTCAAAGGTTCTTTGTGTTACCAGTACCACATCCCCGGTCTCCGCCACGCTGCACGAGCGGCTACACCCCGTGTCCAATTCCGAACGGTGCCCACCCTGCACGACATCCATCGCCGAAGCGCGTCGGCACTGTTATCATACTCGCAAACGAAGCAGCCAGAGGACGAACAACTCATATGTCTCGGAATTTTATCTTCTGCAGATCGGCAGCTACTATCTCTTACGCGACAGACCGACTCCAAACGACGCTAGAATACGTCTCTGCTCCGTCCACGCCTACCCCGGTCTTTCACACCAACAATCTCCCACAGCCACGATGCGGGTAGTCAAAAACGGATCATGTTGTTGGCTTGCTAGCATGGCACTGTATCTTCACTAGCGTGACCCCGGTTACAGCTGGCCACCGAGACTACGGTTGGTGGTGTCCATTCGCCCAATCGATACTGATCCATTGTAGACGAGAGCATCAGAAGTCGACGTTGACGATCTATCGAACCTGCTCAGTCTGAGCATTAATGTACCTGCACCATCGTTCCCGGAGAGCATCGTTCCGCTGTTTCAACGTCAAGCACAACAGAGGGTCAAGTTTATGTGCTTAAGTTGCAACACGTTCTACAGCAGTCTTCGCGCATAGGGTTCGTTCAGGAGACGCAAACACGTGAATATGGGCACATACGTGTCGCGTATTATACGTGAGCCGGTGGATCTCGCACTAAGACTATTGCCAGATGCCCGGAGAAGTGCAGCCCGTGAGCCCCGATTGACACAGCTGCGTTGACGCCGGCTTCATGCGGAAAGGACTGATTTACACGACATATCCGAGGAACACAAGCATTGGCAACCTTGTGCAATTGTCAACTCAGTGCAGCCCAAAACGTTCGACTTGTTGTCGATAGATCATTTGCTAAGTTTCAGCGCAAAGCGCAAAGGCTCACGTTACGCTCGTCTTATTTGACTTGTCCCCACTATACACTTAGGCGGTCTTCAGATTGGCAGCTGTCCTACAAGAGAGTGTATTACCAGTCTCGGCATATCAGCACTTCTGAATTTGACGAGAATGGTATCAAAGGTACCAGCAGGACGATACTCAATTTCCACGATGGTTGTTCGATTTCTAGATGTGGAAACCCCACCACGTGAAAGCTGCTGATCAGTACCGCATCAGTAGCATGCAGGATCGGCTGCTTGCCGCTGCCTCCAATTGCCTCAGCCCGATTAGCTCTCGCGTATGCATAGCTACTTCCCTGAAATAATACGCGGGGTCCCCACATGTAGTCGCAGATCCAGCCCAACCAGGACCGTGCAGACTTAATACTACACGTTCCGCATGGACTAGGTGGCGATGCTGTTCACTAACCGATGTTCCGGGATCTTTGTTAGGTGCTGGACAAGTATACCGACAGCAAGCCACCTCTTCTACTAAGATCCAGCTCAGCCAGGGATCTCCAATCGCAGCCTGCATGTACTACAAAAGTATACACTACGGGCTAATGCCCCCGACGCATGCAAACGCATGGATGTAACCCGTATACCCATCGGCTAAGAGGGGCCCAGAGAGTGACGATAGACTTGTCAAATGTGGCTTCTTTATCATATGCGTCAGCGTCGCGGTATAAAGGGTCAAAAGCCACGCCAAAGCTCACATATCACCTCGGCATTATTTCCATTCGACAAGTGTGCGATTGCAGCTTTCTGTCGTCTGTCGTCATAGACTCTTCATAGTTCTTGCCTGCACATATCTTTATGACGGTGGGGTCCGGCGAATCTGGCAGGATGACGACCCTCAACGAGGAGTGCTTTCCAAACATGTCGGCTGGCACTGACATCACCGCGTCATCAGAATCGATTAAGGTGAGCAACTACCACCGCGACAAAAAACCTTTCAAATTAACTATTCAAGTCCTTCACAGGAGCCAAGATGGCCTCGAATGGAAAGACCAGTGCTCCGACCCACGTACTGGCGGCTTTCATCGCCCTCAGTCTATCGATCTTTCTAGTAGCACTCGACACTGTGCTCATCCCAACCGCTTTGCCCACGATCTCCCAGTCCTTCCACATCCCAGATTCCCTTTACGCCTGGATAGGATCATCCTACCTTCTCGCCAACGCTTCATCAGTCCCGTTCTGGGGGAAGCTCTCGGACATTTTCGGACGAAAGCCAGTAATCCTGGCAGCCAACGCCATTTTCCTTGGCGGCAGCATCTTGTGCGCCGTCAGTGTGAATGCCGTTATGCTCATTTTCGGTCGTGTCGTTCAGGGTCTCGGCGGCGGTGGGGTGGTGGTACTGGTTCACGTATGCGTCAGCGACCTCTTCACCATCCGGGATCGGTCCTTCTACATGGGTACTGTTGGTGCTGTATGGGCCGTCGCCTCTGCTCTGGGCCCGGTACTTGGCGGCGTCTTTGCACAACGTCTCCATTGGACGTGGTGCTTTTACATCAACATACCCATCATCTCGCTAGCGATCTTAGTGTTGTATCTTACGCTACACCTACACAACCCACGAACGCCCTTTAAAACAGGACTCGCGGCTATGGACTGGCTGGGGACGGTCACGATAATCACGGCTACTATACTTCTGCTAGTAGGCCTCCAAGTAGGTGGCATTAGCTCCTACTCGAACGCAGGAGTCATCACGTGCTTGCTGTTTGGATCACTCGCTTACGTCGCCTTCCCTTTCTCGCAACACTGGGTGGCACAACATGGCGGCAGCCCTATCATGCCACTGCGCATCTTCAAGGACATCAGCAACCTCAGCGCACTGGCCGTATGCGCATGCGACACTGTGGTCTTTACCTCGGTCGCTTACTTCCTACCCTTGTACTTCCAGATCGTGCTCGGGCTCCAACCAGAGATCACAGGCGTATGTATGCTCGCCGTCGCGATACCTTTGGCACTTGTTTCATTCGCTTCTGGTCATGTCATAGAGAAGACTGGGCGTTTCCTAGAAGTACTGCAAGTGGGTCTGTTTGTTATGACGCTCGGTGTCGGCCTTCTCATCTCGCTCGGCACCGCGCCAAGTCTTGGAACTATCGTCGCATTCATGGTCATTATCGGCCTGGGTTTCGGGCCCAACTTTGGCGCGCCGCTCATTGCTCTACAAACGCGCATACAAGAGGCGGATATCGCGGCCGGTACTGCGGCTTTTGGATTTGTACGTGCAATATTTGGTGCCATCGGTCTAGTTATCGGCCAAGTGGTATTCCAACTCCTCATGGCGCCACACTACGAGAAGATTGTCGACAGTGGCATCGTAGAAGATGTTGCTCTTAACCTCACTGGGGGCGAAGCGATATCTCAAAGCGCCGCTATCACTGGCCTCACTGAGTTCCAGAAGAGTATAGTCCGCTATAGCTTCATGAGCGCGCTGAGAGGGACCTGGATTCTCATGACGATTGTGGGTGCCATTGGACTTTTGATCTCGTTCGGTATCAAGAGGACGAAGTTGCGTCGAGAAAGGACGACTGAGCTTAAGGAGCTCGAAGTCACATCGAGCGACTGAGCATAGGGTAACAGCTCACATGTGTGCAACTAATGGCCCGCTCATTTATGCTCAATCATCCGACGCACATAGCGCAAGCGATTCAGTCATTTGACTCATGACTAGCTCTCCTAGTCCCATGTTTCGGGTGCAAAAAACCCATATTTAGTTCATTTGAGCGTCTTACATATATCATTGATGGATCTGCGCGATGCGGCCCCCCAACTACCGAAGCAGCCTCAAGCTCTACCTAAATACACTCGCTATATATCACACTTCATGTATTGCAAAACCTAGCCCGTGGTGTATCACCTCTGATCTCGTTTGCGCCGTGTACTTACTTCTTTCTTCTTGCTTCCCTATGCTTCCTCTGCAGCTCCGCCAACGCCTCATCACTCCATCCCGCGTCGCGATAAGTGAAGTAGTCACTTGGCAGGGTGGCAGGATTATTAGGATCTTGTGTAGGGTCGGGTAATGGTGCCACGAGAAGCGGTTGTGGTTGGGGCGGCTGTTCAGGCGGCTCTTGAGGGTGTGCGCCGTGGTCACTCTGAACAGGCATGGGCGGCGCGGGCATCCACCACGGCTGGGCTTGTGTCGCTGCTGGTGCTGGTCCTGGCATTGGTCCTTGCGGTATACATACTTGATCTGGGAGAGGGTAAGGTACTAACACACGCTGCCCTGTTGGTGTTACTATGACTTGGAAGACGGGTTGTCCGGGCTGCTGAGCTTGGTCTTGGCCGTTTCTTGGGGGCTGAGGTGGCTGGTTGGGAAACATGCTTGGTTGAGTTTGATACGTTAACGATGGTTAGATGAAGAAGACTATGGGCGGATGTAATGCATAAATTTATATGTATATATGATATGATGGAAAATAACCCGAGCGAAGCAGCGTCTATACGTTGTTCGATGTATAAGCTGTCGCGTGTGGGACGCGTCAAGGATGCGCTGTTGCACCGACAGCTATGCGGACAGCACGCGCATGATGTATGAGCAAGCTTGATGCGTTGAGGAACTCAACAGTAGCGCCTCACGTATCCCATGAGCTGTGATAGTTCTTTTGTGATATCGCTGTAGTCAATAAACGGCGCACAAATGATTCGTTGGACGTTGCAGAATTGTTTGCATTCTTCAAAAGCCGAGAAAATTTTGCTGTGAACTTCCTCAAGCTCCTCTCGTAGGTGTCCGAAAAAGTGATGGCAGGCGTTATCTCAAGCTCAGTCCAAGCTTTCTCCTTTGTAGCCAGGAGAATAACAGTACTTCATCAAACGACGGGAAATCTTGCTGCCACCAGCTCGTGCTGTCCAGCACGTGTCGACAACCCCAATGCGCCGAACCTTCCACTTCGCGACGCCAGTGTCGAAACAAGCCTTCAGCTTCACACCGGTCTTTTTCGAGAGCTCAGAGGCGAAGATAATCTTGTTAAGACAATGTAGGCGGTATTTATCAGGAGCTTTTTCCGTTTGGCCTGGTCTCATGATGAACTTGATCAGAATCTCATGCTGCGCATCATCTTCGTCTTCAGTGGTACTGGTGATAGTGTTCAATCCTTTGGGTACCGAGGTGATATTGATGCCATCTAGGCCTATCAAGCTGATAACATTATCCTGTGACCAAGTGCGAAACGTTCTTGCCATGTCCCGCATGATCTTCAGCTCGTCGAAGTCATCCGGATCGGTGGGCATGATCAAGGCGTCTAGAGCTTCGCTTATAGTTGTTGGAGTCAGCTGAAGATGAAATCTTGAACTGGGTTCCCGAAGCTTCAACAAGGAGAGAATATCAACACCATGTTGAGGGAGTGGTGCGCCGCAGCAGATGGGCTCCACCCATCCTACCACCTCGCCGTCTTTATCTGGTCGATGGAAGATGTTGACGTAGTCGTTGATGGTCTCAAGCGCGGTGCGGACTCGACGCTTCTCTAGAAGCCAAGGGGTAAACTCATTCCGAATCTGGCGGCAGATTTGAGTGAAGCCCCAATATGAATGCGCGAAGTTGGTCGGACAAGCTATGCCACGAACAGAGCGTCGAGGTACGCCTTCGGGGTAGTGGCGAACGTTCAAAATCTTCTTCTCTTCGTCGGTCATGGCGTATTGATATATCAAATTGCGGACTTCACCCGGTAGATCACTCCAGGGCGCATTCTGAGTACCTGGCTTCTTTGGTGGATATCGACGAGAATGTGAGCGCGGCACATATTCATCTTCATCATCGCTCTCGTCATCCTTCTCTTCTTCTGATACCCAACCAAGCCAACGACCCAATCTATCAGCCTCTGCTCTGACTTTCTCTTCGAGACTTGTTTTCCTTCGGTGTGCACCTGTGGTTGTTGATTTGGTGATGCGCGCACCCTGCACACGAAGCTTTTCGCCCAAATGGGCAGACTGAGCGGTCGACCCTGAAGTTCGTAAGTCGCGAACACGATTGCGGCTGGACCTGGCCCTGGGCATTTCATCGTCGGTAAGTTGAGCTACGGTATCCTTACGCGATCGCTTTACGGGAGGTGCGTTGTAGTCGGCAAGGTTTGCAAGCTCTGCGACGATATTCGTGGGCTTCTTATGCCCGCGCTTTGGGTGCGGAAGTCGCATGTCCTCACCGCGACAGTGCCTGACACCCCTATCGTGATTGCCTTCATTCTGGGAAACTGCACGTGTCTCCTGAACGCCGCGACGACTGCGCTTTCTGGGCTTCTGCGAAGGCGCGCAGTCCTTCTCGGCTTGGTGTTTGCGCTTTGAACCCATTATGTTCGCTGTATGTAGGAGTGACTGGGGGATTCTGAGAATTGGAGGAATTCACTGGCTGATGTGAAAGAATGTGGACGTATGGTGTTGACACTAGAGTTGACACAGTTATGAGATATGGTGGAGCGTTCTGGTTAGAATGGGTGCCTAGTATTGAAGAACACTCAACCATGGATTCAAGGGGAAATGCACGTGCGTCCACAACCCTTTCATCCACTTGTAAGGATTAGCTCAGATTTATTGTAGTCGTCTGCACCAGGTCGATATACTCGTTGTCGCGATGGGGGCCTGTATGATCCATGGCGATGTGTGTGCGGAGACCTGGCTTTCAGTGGTACCGAAACGCGACACGACCGCAGGCGAGTTTGCAGCCGATGACCCCTACGATACTATTTCGTGTCAGCATCGTGAAGCTGATTGGACTACGCAGTTTCTGTCCTATCATCCTGGATCAAGTTGCAATATCACAGCGTGACAGTCGATATCCGAACGATAAGAAGGCCGCGGCAGCTGGAGGCGTCCTCATAGCTGGATCGCGACCTTTGTGAAGAAGTAAACGTGTCGCAAGCTGTTCGAGTTTCTTGCAACCCGCTAGGGTGCATTCTCTCCTTGTTTTGTCGAGCCTCAGCCGATGCGAAGAAGAGCTGATATAAAGGTCGCGGTCAGGTTGTCGCGAACGCGGCGTCTCCAGCCCCTTCCCACAACAACGGATGTCGTTCTGTGTGCGTTCGCGCTTGCCAGACTACTGCACTAAGCAGCAATAGAAAATCGTAAACGAGATCAAGAATATCTAGACGCGACGAAGATATCCAAGATATGCTCAGCTTGGGATGAATGAGTGTTGAAGCTGAAGCTGAAGCTGATCGGCATTTTGCCAAGCTGGCTGACGTCATCACGGTATTCTTCTCCTTCCCTCCTCTAGACGCAGACATCCCACTTCGCTTTCGCAAACATTGGCCCGGTCCCGAAGCTACCAGGCTCAGATATGTACTACGCGATGCTATGCCTTCCCGAGACCTCGCGCGCCTCGTCACGTGAGCAACCTTGGAAGCCACCGTTTAATGTAGGATCTGTGATCAGTAAACCCAATACCGAGCCTCGGGTCGCCTCACAATCAGCCAATCAGAACTGCGCACTCCTTTACAGCTCAGCTCTTCTTCACTTCATGGCAGTTTCGTAGGGGATGCGAGTAACTCAATATGGCAGACTTGGTAGTGCGCCGCGCTTGCTCTCGGCCGTAACTCTGAACGTGTGCGGGGACAAGCGCCGGGTATATACAGCACATATCCTCTCGTTGTGAAGTATAGCGGAGGATATCCCTGGTGCCTTCCACAGCACCCTGACTTAACTCACCATACTCCTAGCATGAACCACGATTGCCAGAATGGACATGCGACATTGATCCATGAGACCGAGACTGTCATTGCTGGAAACAACGGAGAAAAGCCCGACCCTGAACATCAATCTCCATGCCAACCCGCCAAATTCGAGGATGAACGACGCTGTAGTGAACGGCCGGCTAGCGAGGATGGATCGTTCACCAGCCCCGTCGACCCGATGAACTGGGATGGTCCGGACGACCCTGAGAACCCGCACAACTGGTCTTCATGGAAGTTGGCTTATCATACGATGATACCAGCCCTCTTTGGATTCACTGTGTAAGTCGCAAGATAGCGCGTAACACCAGCAAGTACTGACGGCTCAGCACCTTTGGAACATCAGTGTATACACCCGCGCTCGCAGACGTCATGCGTGACTTCGACGTATCGCGCACGGCTGCGCTCATCGGCATAACGCTTTACACGCTCGGACTCGCGTTTGGTCCAATCGTCACTGCACCACTTAGCGAAAGAAAAGGCCGAAAAGCTGTCTATCTGGTGTTCTTCCCTATATTCATGCTGTTTACTCTCGGCGCAGGCTTCTCGAAAACATACGCGGGCCTGGTCGTGTGTCGATTCTTCGCAGGATTGTTTGGAAGTCCAGCACTTGCTGTTGGTGCTGGAACGAATGCCGATTTGTTCCCACCGCATAAGCGCGCCTTGGCCACGAGTTTCTACTTGATGGCTCCTTTCGCTGGGCCGTCCATTGGGTATGTATCGTCCAGAGTCTATTGCTCTACTAGATGTTGACGTGATAACAGACCCGTGGTTGGAGGGTTCGTGGCGCAGTACAAGACTTGGCCGTGGACGCAATGGTCCATTCTTTTCCTTGCGGTGGCTGTGTATGCCACATCTATACCAATGGATGAGACTTACAAGCCTATCATCTTGAAGAGGCGAATGAAGGAGAACGGAGTGCAAAAGAAACAAGAAAATGGAGATATCAAGAGCGAGATCGTTCTGAGGTTCATTCGGCCCCTTCACATGCTCTCAACAGAGGTATGATTGCAAGCCCCCGTGCATCTTTGTCCATGCTTGAGCTAAATATGCACAGCCTGTAGTGTTCTTCGTCTCGCTCTACACAGGTTTCGCATTTGCGGTGCTGTTTCTCTTCTTTGCAGCTTTCCCTTACGTCTTCTCACGTCCGCCATACTCCTTTACGCCGTCTCAGTCTGGGCTCACATTTATTCCCATCAGTATTGGCGTGTTTGTTGGAGGTATGACTACCATTGTCGTAGACCGCATGATCTACATGAAAAAACATCAGCAGGCCACCTTGAAAGGCAACCCGAACGCTGACCCGGAACATCGATTATATAGCGCAATGCTTGGTAGTTGGGGTATGGTCATTGGTCTCTTCTGGTTTGGCTGGTGTGCTGATAAGGGCGTTCATTGGGCTCCCACTGTGGTGGGAGTTATACCTTTTGCATGGGGCAATATCTGTGTTTTCGTAAGTTGCGAAGGTCGAGTTCATGTTCAATTAGCACTAACAGCCTGATCTCTAGACCTCTTCTGCGCTCTATCTTGCGGATGTATACGGTGCGATGAACGGCGCGTCAGCTATAGCGGCGAATGGAATCGTCAGGTACACGCTTGGGGCTGTCTTTCCCCTCTTTACCGTGCAGAGTACGTCATCAAATGTGGAACCAGCCGATAGCAAT